ACTTGGTGTTGACGACATTCCCATCTTCCCCTCCTCTTTCGTCTAACCCCTCCTTCTTCGTCTGTGTATGGTTGGGGCTGGCGCAGTCTTCTTGGGTGAAGCGCCAGACCCCCTTCACACCAGATAACGATGATGATGATGTGTGTTCAGAGCTGCATTGCAATATTGATTGTTCGGATCATTCGTATCTCAGTCTTCCGCTGTGTTATCTTGTACTTTGTATTGAGAGGTCGGTTCTTGTTCTGGTCTGCACGTTACAGTATGCAACAGCCTGACTCCTGATTTCCAAAAGTCAACTGCCTCGCATGGGGCCACAGGCCGCCTCATGTGAAACTGTACCCTGTACATGTTGACCCAAGGACTTCTCTCAGACCCCTCTAGAACAGGGGTCATGACTTTTGACCTCTGAATCTAGGCTTAGACCGGATGTTACGACCCTCCACTGTGCCCACGTGGATTCTGAACGGAGTTCTTTGCAATTTGGACCATTTCTCGATTTGTGTGTCTCATCCTTAATTGCACAAAGGCCGTGCTAATCTCCCTTCTCTGCATTGTTCCAAATGAATGGTTAGAACTTAGAAGTGAAAGAGTAGTTATGTATTCTCAATCATTGCCAAGTAATGCCAGCAGCAAAGAAAGGCAAAGAGTAGACGGCCTCGCAAGCTGCTCATGTGATAGAGGGAACAGCATTGATCTGGAATAGTGACGGGCCTGAAACCTGTGTGCTCATGTCTGTCACATCATTGGTAGGCTTGCATTGTCAGGCTGTCAGTGGCAGGGTGCCTGAGGCAGGCGGATAAGAAGACCTACATGTGAGAGGCATGCTTGTACTATAGCCATGCTAAGAGGCATATGATGTTTACAGTGACACTTTAGTGAGGCTTCCATACTTCCGAACCTTGACTAGAGCCTGGCCATGGAAGTGCAATCAGACTCGACTCTGGACTTGCTCACAACATGCACACATGAGAACCAATGGCAAACCAAACTCGTGAACTCAGAATCAACAACGAACTTGCTCTTAAACTCTGTTCAGAACAACTGTACAACTTGTGGCTATGGCCACCGAACACTGTCTCTATGTCCCATACCTAACGGTGCTGACCAGAACAAGAACCGACCTCTCTCACAAAGTACAAGATAGCGTAGCGGAAGACTTAGATACCAATGATCCGAACAATCAATGTTGCAATGCAGCGCCAAACATACATCATCATCATTCCATGGTGTGAAGGGGCCTGGCGCTCTCACAGGAAGAATGCGCCAGTCCCCAACCATACACAGACGAAGAAGAGGGGGGTTAGACGAAGAAGAGGGGGGTTAGACGAAGAAGAGGGGAAGATGGGAATGTCGTCAACACCAAGTTTTCGGCACAGGCCC